CAGGATAATCGGATGTTCGCTCTGACCGTTTAATTGTTGGAAACGTACTTACGACACAGTCTTTGACGGTTCTAGCAGCATGTTGATCTGCAACTTAGCGGACACTTTCAGTGGAATGCCGGTCGTCTGAAAGGTAATCGGTTACGATTATTTATGGCTGATACGCGGCAAATCGGAAACGCGTTATCCTCGAATCTCTCGATAAGCGACATATTGACGATAAACAACGACCGATTGTGCAAATGAGTATAATCCAATAACGACAACGGTGATTGTTAAGACGATAAGCAACGATAATGAGGCAGTCTCTGATACAGCGAGCATTGACATGTCGCGTGGCATCGTAACGTAAGAATCTCGTTACGAAGGTCGTCACAATGTTCTCCGAGGTTGAGTACGTGAACAGAAATCCAACCGACGGGAACATGCAAGGAATTAAAGAAGAAAATACATGGGCGCAGCAGTGGGGAAACTCGGGAAGCCCGTGGAGAAGGGATCATGCTCATTGAACGATTTTCGTTGACGAGATTAAATTCTCAACGGTATTTACCGGCTCGAGCGTGATGAAGAAGTCATGTTCCTCGTCGGGATTAAGTCCGGTAACGTGTTCTCTGAGGCTGGGGTCGGCTCTGTTGAAATGAGGCAGACTGACGAACACAGGAGCGCCGTAGCGGCAGACGCTCACATTCAGCAGACCCGCGGGGGTGCATTTCCCGTTGCAAAAGCAGTTCCCTATGTTTACTACGTCTGGATCCTCTTCGGGAGCGTTCGTCACTTCTGCCGAGTGTTCAGCTTCGAAGAAGTCTTCGGTGGTAGTGGTCGGTTCGAAATACTTTGCTTGATCGTGAGGATAGCGTCGTTTCGTGCTGTTTCCTAACGTCTTCTCGCTGAGATCGTACCGATAGCCCTCTAGGCCCATGTGATCGACCGTGTGCGAGTACTCGAACGTCAATGGCCTGCGAAGAATGCATAGAGGAAGCGATCGTGAACGGAATCGAATTCCGTGGCGAACGGATTTGACCCACGGTCGGCTTCCATGTCGCGTTTAGCTCGGACGCGAACGAGTGATTGAACGAACTATTGACTCCATCTACGGAAGATCTGTGTCTCGTCAATTTACATGGGGATGAAAATCGCCCCAGATTCGGTGATGCTTAATTTGCCACGCGCAGACAAATGTTTTAGCGAACACGATTTTTTTCTTTGACAGACGTCGAGTAACTGACCTGCAGAGTTCACCGGAGAACAAGAGGATCTCGTCTTTCTGTCGATACGGCGGCCAGAACTCGCCCGCGCTTCCTTCCACTACGTTGCACGGACTTTTGAAGAACCTGGTCGTGTCCTTGTCGTTCCATTTCCTCAAGGTACCAAAGTCGCCAATGTTCAGAGCACCTGTGTCCATGTTTAAGTGACCATCGAACATCGTGGATCCGTTCCTCTAAAGAAGCAGTACAGGACAGGTGTTGTTACGAGCATGGACTGACAAGTTTTGCCTTTATATAATGAAAAATGAACGGGAAGATATATCTTTATGAAAAATAAATTTCTTTATATACATATGTTATATAAAGAATAGAAATTTATATTATATTATTTATTATAATATTATTTACGATATATTATATCATATTATTTATATATATAAATTTCTATTCTTTATTTTTGAAATTGCACACTTATATATTTTTCCATATAATCATCATTTATTGCAATATAATTACGTATTAACGTTATACTAGTTTTGTAATTCATTCGCGAGAAAAGTCGTTTTTCTCAAAATTATCTTTCAATGCAGACTTCACGCGTCCGTTATAGCTGAAATATTGATGATTCGAGTGTTAATGTTGCAACAAATGAAAATCGCTAGGTGTAATGAAGTAATAGCTTCAAGGAAAAGATGTTGACTTTCTTGCGAATGAGTTGCAAAAATTATGCGACGTTTGAATTTATACAGATCTATTGCAGTGGAATTTATGTAACTTTAAAAACAAGAAGATTTTTAATTGTTGCTTCATAAAAACATGTATTCCCGTTTACTTTTTATTTACTTCTATTAAAACTTTCCAGTCTATTCTCACAGATCTTCACGCCGATCGAGATATTCCACCGTTGATCGTGATGTTTGATTATGAAGTGATAGATAACGCGCAATTCGTTATTTTTCACGATCGAGCAGGCGTGCAAACGAGAGCTGAACGCTGATAGTTTTATCGCTGAACGGTTTTATCGAATGCTTTTTTAAGGACATGCGGCGTAGGAAAAAAAACGGGGAAAAGAAAAATCGCCTTGACACGTAGGATAGGTGGAATTAGTCCGCCGTAAATGTTGCATGCGTGACGTAACAAATTAATACATAATATGCCTCCCATTGCTTTTCATTCGTCATTCAGCGACCTACACGTGACCTGTCCTATTCAGTACCAATTTAAGTCTCGCTGCGAATAATTTATCGCCGGCTGCAATGCCGTTGCTACAACAGCGCAAATCGCGTCTTCGACCTTCTGCGCGCCCTCGACACGATTAAATAAACAATTTCAGCTACCTTCTGCTCTGACAACATGTCGTTGAACCTTCGAACCCTTCCCCTGAATTTTACTCGAATCGTTTCTACACGTACCATGTAGAACCATCCAAACTTGTCGAAGGGTGGCACGTCCTCTCCTAGTTCCGCCGCCATTCTTCCCAGCTCGATCAGCGCGTCTTCGTAACCCTTGAACAACAGCTGATCCACCATCTTCGTGGTATGCACGTTCGACGCCGACAGCATCAGCGACAGAGTAGTTTGCAACGCTCCGTCCCAGTATCTCACCTTGTGTTTCGCCGACTGTAAAAAGAAATGGAAGAAAAGAAACGTGACGAAGGTGTCTAAAGTCTTTCACGTCTGCCGTGAAAGAGATATCTACTCACGATCGCGACGGCATTCAGTTGAGTGATGCGGTCGGTCAGGGATCCGTTGCTAAGCTCCGGCTTGAAGTACCACCATCGCCGGTTGAAATAGCTCACCGTGTGATTCTCAGGGTGAAACACCACGTTCGCCTTTTGCCTGATCTCCCTGAAATTCGAGCGTTCCAGCGTGAGAATTTTCGTGGCAGCGAAAGAAATTCCGCGAAAGGAAGCAACACGTGAGTTGTAACGAATCGCGCGTCTATCATTTCCTTCGTTACTTCTGTGATCGAATGACAGAAGACAACGTACGGTCGCTGCAAAGTAAATTATCGTGCGTGCTTCGGTAAAACGCGTCCGTGCAATTTGGAATCATCGTCGTTCGAACATCGCGCGACAACGCGTTTCTCGTAACGTTGTTTACTTATCGCGCGAGGCGGAACGGGCAACGTGTCATTACGCGAGCGGGAAATGGATTACACGACCGGGGAAATCGGCCGGGGAAACGGCAAAAATTACGCGAGCGACGCGGTCGCGGCTGGCAATCAAAAGGAGCGCTGCTCCGGGTCGCGGCCGTCAAGCGACGTTCAATTAAGCGACGCGTTCGTGATTAGAGCAGCCGTGATTTCGTGCTTATAGCCTACATATCCTTGCGTGTTTCGTTGATTCGATTTGACGCGACAATTGCTGCCCCGCTAAGTGCGTGGACTCGCGAATGCACCTTGCCGCGCGTCTAATCTTCGTTTATTGCTAACAGCGCAATCTTTTATTGTTGCGCAATAGTCTCGGGATTAGGGCGAAATCAACGTCAAGCAAGGAGAAACGAATGTGCCGATCTTCTCTCTAGGGGGACGATATTCTATTTCGAATCACCGGTGGCCTCGTTGCCGTCGAATCGGCCGACTTACTTCCACCGTCTCGTGATGTCAACGAACCAAAATACCGACCTTCGTTAAACTTCAACCACTTCGGCAATATGTTTCTTGTCTCTAAGTATAGTTTTCATTAAGTTATGTTTGTGCTAACATTCCGCAGACCGATGGTGGAAACTTGGCGTTCCTAGCTAACTCACGGGATATATTCGTTCTTGCTCGAACGAGTTTATGTTGTCGAGCGAATTCTGGAATCGACGAAAAATCAAAAGCAGAACACTGTTGTTTACTGTAAAAGAGCATTGAAGCGTTAACCGTGATTATGGAGATTACATACTTTTCAACAAAAATTACTGTATATTCGAAAAATGATCGAATAAGAATTCATGTTTCTACAGTTAAGTTTTTAGAAATTGTTTTAGCGAACGCGGGTTGCAAATATTTCGTCAGATGAAATACAAAAAAGGAAGGAAGGAATTTTTCTGCGTTTAAAACTTATTTGAAAAATGTGTGACAAATGTAACGTAGATCCTTATTCACAATGTCGAAAACGACTAACGATGATGAAGTAAGAGAACCAGGAAGTGAAAAATATAAATATCCCAACAATGGTATCGTTCGAATAGTCGATAAGATTAGAAGATATAATATCTGTTGTCGACCGAATCCTGGAATCGATGGAAAATCGGTTGTCAAAGATTGAACGATCCACGTATCGTCACGTTTATCGTCACGCTCCGACTGTTGGCCTCGAGAGAAAGCAATTAAACGAGCAATTGTTTTATGCAACATTCAACCCTCCTACGCTCGGCGACTTAGTCGAGACGGTTGAGTTTTCACCGCTCATTAAGATGTCAATATCGCGAGGTTAAATAGCAGGAGGTTCCTTTTGTTATCGCGATTAGATCGGTCTGTTAAGAGGGCTCTCGTGAAAGGTGATTCAATATCTCGTTTCCGCGAGATCGTTCGATGCATCGATGGCGGGGGAACTTGCATTCGTCGTCGATACTGCCAATTTGACTTCCAGCTTTCGTGATTATAAATACTGTGTTTGATATCAATTAGTATTGGGCGGCAATCTATCGTTACGCAACAGTTTCCGCTTCGACCGCAATGTTATTTTTTTGCCTGACGATTCTTCGATTCCCGTGACAGCGCGGAACGAGGTTGATAGTTAATTGATACTCGAAAGAGAATACCGTGTTCCACGCTGGCTATGTTATTACTGTATCGAGTTGTTCTGCAAACGCTGTATCGAGCTTCAAATAATCTGCCGTTTGTTTCGAAAATCTCGCAACGATCGCAACGATCTATGCATTCAACGAGTCATACCGGAATACGTATGGGCCGACTTGCTCGAGGTTCGGCTTCTTCCCAGGGATCCTCAGCTGCTGCGGATTGGTCCAATTGAAGAAGTAGATTTTGAAATACATGGGAGGCAAGCTGCTCGTGTCGTTCCATATTTCGAACGCTTTCGACGTCGGTGACAACGGTATTTCCTTGTGACAGAAGTTTTATCATATTAATGATACGAAATAACGATTACGAAATCAAAGGTCATCAACTATCACGATTCAACCATCGTTCTGCCATAGCAACTTGAAGTTGAGAAACCAAAAACAGTGGCTGTTCGTTGGCCGAGCGCGGCCTTTGCAGCCGAATCGTACGCTACGCACGTTTCTCCGCAACAAGAAATTATTGCGTCTAGCGCAACTCTAAAGACATAGTATGTCAATTAATTGAACAATCAACCACTTTTCCAATCGCGCTGGGAACAACGACGAGACACAAGCGAGACTATTCGACTACTAAGGTCCGTTTCGCCTCGGTTGAGATCGTCGAAAAAGCTCGTGATATTACTCTGTTTGTTCCCGTTTTTAATCGTCCAGTGTCTCCTGACGGACGAAAGTTTTCAAGAGGCGGAGCGACTACGTCTTTCAGCCAATCGGACGTATAAATTATAATATAAACACTGAAATGAAATCATAGAGATAACCCAGAATCGCGAGGTTGTTCGATCTCGCGCAGAGAAAAAAAGACTATATTTACGTTTACGTCTCTGGCGAAAATGAATTCAGAACAAATGCGTCGCCGACTATCTCGACGATCAACATTCATAGAATAACTACGCGGAGAAATGTATAGTCACGTTGTTGCAGCGTGTAGAAACCATAAAATCATCAAGGTGAAGCACTTCGTTCGTTGAACGATTCAGATCGATATCGTTTATTGGACTAGATGTAGGAAATTGTATCATTTCTGCGCAGGCATGCAAATTTAACGGGGGAAACGTACACCGTAAACTATAAATGCGCAACGTACTCACTTTTTGGAGAATATAATGGAATATCGCTGGCCAAGATAAATAGAGAGTCGTGCCGGAAACGATCAGTAAGACGCCGAGAAAACCAAGGCCGAGGGATTTGTTGGTCCAAGGCCTCATGATAATGGAAGCTCGTTTACGCGGTAAGTCGTTCCTCGGCTCTTCAGCATGTGTGCCTCCGACGGCCGTGGTCGGTGTGTTCGCCGATCAGGCCCGCACCCGGTCACTCTTCCGGATATTGTGTGTGCTCTTCCACGCCGCGCGAAGCCTGAAACAAGATAAAACCTATCTAATCAGCCAGTCACCGAGCCATTTTTTTCTGTCCTCTCTTTCTCTCTCGTCTTGTAGTCTAACCATACATCACGTAGTTCTCGTCTCGTCTGCGCTGCGACGACGCGATGCGTTTCCCATTTCAGCGACGAAAACGACGACATTGCCACTTCAGACATTCCAAGGGATTCACGCACGAATGTAAAGTTTTGTGTAAAGAGAATAACCTAAGTGAACGGTTTTGCTCGAATTCTTAACTACTAGACAGTGAAGCTAACGCAAGTAGTATAAAAGTCTTACAGAGAATAAAGATAAAATTTAATTGAATAGAGATGAAATTTAGTTGAAGAATCTTTGCAGAAAGCGCTGCAGATGACAAAAACAAAAAGCTCTCTCTCTCTGTCTCTCTTTCTTTTTTTTTATTAGGAATATCATTATATATAAAATGTAAGAAGAAGCTCCCTTTATAACTAATCTAATAATACTAAAAGATGAGATTGCCATTTAAGTCTAACGTCTCTGCAAAGAGAAAACTGTGAAGTATTTGTAAGAAATAGAAGCTGATACATTAAGATATTTATAGTTTAAAAACAAAAAAAAAAAAAAAA